AGCGACAAGTACTTTATGATTGTTGATTTAATTGTCCTTCTTTATACTGTTTTAAAAGAACAAATCTGATGTTATATAATATATTGCACAAAAATCTGACATGTCCTCTTATTCTTAGCCCAGAGCAATGGAAAAATATTTCATTAAATACCTTGTAAGCGTTACCATATCGTATTTCCACTTTAAGCTCTTCCTTTTAACTCCTGAAAATAGTCTTTTATGTCAGTGTCAAAGGAATTTTTGCATAACACCGTGTGACAGAAGTAAATGAGCCCTCAGAGCCTGAGTGGACACCTGATACGACGACCTTACTGTTTTTGTTTCTAACTTTTGTTATCATCATCTGCTGAGACCCAGTGAAGCTATGCATGTTTTTTCTTTAAACTTATCTGTTGCTTAGCCCTAGAAAACACACTCAAAGAGTCACTTTTAAAACACCTGATGTTTTCATAGATGCCACCCAGACTATTTCAGCATTGGTTTGATTTACAAGCGCTGTGCTTGAGCTTTGTTGTGCAATTTTGGCTCGCTGCATTTCCTGCAGTCTGTGTGCATTTAATCATATTTATGTATTGTTTACTGAAAAGATTACATGCAACCTCTTAAGAACAAAAAGAAAAAACAGCATTGATGATCTCTGCTTTTGGCTCGCATTTTTAAGAAATCCTGATGGATTAATGGCTCCTTTTGTGAGGATATGATGGTCCAATGCCAGGGGACTTGGACTCAATCTGGGCAATGAGTCACTGTGTTGTCTTCAGCATTCTTTTTAGACAGATATTTTATCCCTTCATCTCTCCTGTCATTTACATTTATTTGAAAGGAAGGGATCTTTAAGAAGCCATTGTAAGAATATGAAACTCTTATTCTTGGCACAACAAGTAAGAAAAGCTACAACATGGACAAGTGCAGAAATATCTGGAATGCTGCGGACTGTGTAACACAAATCAGGAACTTACTTCTGTTGCAACCATCCATTTCTCAACTGAAATATGTCTGAAAAAGAATAATTGAAGCAAACAAAGTAAAATGGTCTATTGGTTGCCTAAACACAATTAAAGTATTCATTTTCTAACATCTTTCCTGCTGGTGTTCATTTTTCTTATAGTTGTATCATTTACCTGCTTGTTTCAGGTTGAAGGAAAAAAAAAGATAATAGGTATGATAAAATGA